CTTGCTGCTTGCTGTTCGTTCGGTTCAACTTCAACGAACTGCGGCAAAATGTATTTTGCGCCGGAAGTGCGTCATCTAGCTTACATAAAATTCTTAACCAATAGTAACGAATTGCTGCTGCAGCGTGCTGCGCATGAAAAAGCACCTTAAGGGTGCGTCCCGATGGAGAAAGAAATAACGGAACGGAATGAGAACGGAACATTGATAGAAAAGAAATAAGATTGTTCTATCTCTTTTCTATCAATGTTCCGTTACTGTTCCGTTCCGTTATTTCTGACTTCATGTGACTGCACCCTAAGGTGTCTGACTAGCGAAGCTTCTACCGGCCGCCACTAGGAGCACCCATTTTCTTATGCATGAGTCAATGGACCAATCAAATTCTTTATGTATATGGTTTATGCGTTATGTAAAAGTCTGTGCTCCCCGCTTTAATCCTGTTAGATTTACTTGGGAAATTTGTAAACAGATCTAACAGAACGATTCTGTGATTGACTATGCGCTGATCCGCTTACGCACGAACCGCTGCATGGGACGTTATCCTAAAAAGCCTTGTGTCCACGATGCTAGAAATCGGTCCAAGATCTCGGATGAAGAAAGAATTAACTAATCACATTTGAACAATTTGGTCACATGATCATTGTAATTGGTCAATTTTTCCTTCATCCGAGATCTCGAACCGATTTCTAGTATCGTAGACACAAAGCTTAAAAGGGGTCACTGCTGAGTATTGCACTGTTGGCCAATAATGCAGCCAAGAGAAAACGCTAGGCCCATTGACACATAGAAAAACGTACGTCCGTAAACGTAATCAGTAGGTGCATCCAGAAGCATGACCGCTCACTAAGCGCTCAATGAGCTTTTTTACCTAATTGGCATATTCCATTAGATCTAAAAATATAAACCAAACAGATACAAGAGCTCACTGAGCGCTCAATGAGCAGTTGTGCTTCTGGATGCACCCAGTGAGCGAATTGACCAATCGCAGTTTAGACCGTAGGCCCCGTCGCTCACGTTCTCAACTGTGATTGGTCAATTCGCTTACTGAGTATGTGCCTTCTACAATAAAATAGACGTGTATTTTTCATAACCTGTAAGGTCTGCAAGATTTGAATCTGGTTTCATCTGATTTTTAGTCATGTACCTCTCACAGAAATATTATTCTTTAATGTGTGTTGATCTGTTGAGATTTCTGTTAACTCAACAATATAATTATCAATATGATACCAATCAATACGATATTTGGAGATTTGACGAGATGTAAATGAATTAATAAGTCGAAAAAAGAAACGAAAATAAAATAATATAAATATAATATATATTATATATCAATATAATCATCAATATGATACCAATCAATATTACGATATTTGGAAATTTCACGAGATGCAAATGAATTATAAGTCGAGAAACATCATTAAAATATATGTAATCAACATCATTTTGTTTAATTAATATTATTAAATATTATTTAACAAGACAATTAAAATTTTAAAGTATTTATTGTACATACTTTTCGTTTTCACAAAAAGTAATAAAAAGGAAAGATAAACAGATGACTATGAAATATGAATTAAAAGATGAGTTAATTTTTATAATGCATAATTTATTCTGTGTTGAGCAGATTTAAATCACTTGGTTTATTTCAATAAAGCAATTTGTTGAAAGAAAAATTTTAATGTTAGAGTGTTAGTCTAACTCTTGTCAGTTGACTTCGCATCAAATTCTGTGACAAAATCCGCTAGAGACTCCTCAAGTATTCGTAGAATGCACAGTCCATATGAATGGCCAAAAAAGATGGCCGCCTTGATTCCGAGGTACACTCTACAAGCAGCAAGTAAGATTGTCACATTTTTTGTATCTTTTGTAATATTCGGCTTCTTTCTCAAAATCGAAATGCACAAACATTTTACATAAAATTGCCTATAATTCTTTTACATTCACAATGTATGGCAGATAATATTTCGTAATTATATAACCAAACAGAGTTTATGTTATATTTGTTTTTGTGTATATTTTAGGAAAGCAGACAACATGCATCGCAACTATTGCGGTTCAGACAAATCATTACTCATCACAACCAGAAATCATCAAAAAGCCCACTACAGCTTCTTTGAAGAGAGGCACAGGTGGTCGTAGTTCCTTCAATGGGATAGTATGCACTCTGTTTGGTGCAAATGGATTTGTTGGACGCTATGTGTGCAATCGCCTTGGCAAGATTGGTACTCAGGTACATATGGAATAAAGAAAGCAGACAATAGCTATTTCTATAGTAACAGCAATTTCAATTGCAATATAATAATATAACTGAAATATAATATAATCAGCTGTTCGATTGATTGTCATGTTTGATTTGCAGTTAATAATACCGTATAGAGGTGATATGTATGATTGCATGCCTCTGAAGCTCTCCGGAGATTTAGGACAAGTCTTGTTTCATCCGTTTCACTTGCGTGACAACGAATCGAAAGAAAGCAGACAATAACTATTTCTATAGTAACAGCAATTTTAATTGCAATATAATAATATAACTGAAATATAATATAATCAGCTGTTCGATTGATTGTCATGTTTGATTTGCAGTTAATAATACCGTATAGAGGTGATATGTATGATTGCATGCCTCTGAAGCTCTCCGGAGATTTAGGACAAGTCTTGTTTCATCCGTTTCACTTGCGTGACAACGAATCGATAAGAAAATGTATCAAGTACTCCAATGTTGTTGTCAATCTAATTGGACGAGATTGGGAAACTAAGAACTTCTCTTTTCATGAGGTGCATGTTGAGGGAGCCAGGAGACTTGCTAGATTATGCAAGGAAGCTAATGTTCAGCATTTTATCCATGTGTCTGCATTAAATGTGGGCGACGAGTTTGAGGTAGGTTTTAAATCACATTCCTATTTTATATTAATTTATATAACACCAATTTGTAATTTTATACTTATTAATATTTCTGTATTAAGTCACATGTATTGAAAGGTGGTTCTAAATTTCTTCGTTCAAAATGGGAAGGCGAGTGTGCAGTGCGAGAAGAGTTTCCTGAAGCTACAATTATTCGGCCGTCAGATATATGGGGTCAAGAGGATCGATATTTAAATATGTATTCCGGCATGTGGAGACACCATTTCAAGTAATTTTGCACCGTAATAAATTCTCTAACGTATTAAAGTTATACTTTTATGATCATTGACAATATAATTTGTTCGTAGGGGTGTACCGTTATGGGAAAAGGGTGAAAAAACAGAAAAACAGCCAATAGCTGTATACGATATTGCTGCTGGTATTAGAGCTATTGCAAGAGATCCTAAAAACACAGCTGGCAAAACTTACCAGTTTGTTGGGTATGAACGAGTACAGTACACTTGTACAAGTTTATCATTATATCACGATCGTTTTCGCAACATGTGAATATTTTGTTTGCGTAGACCGAAACGTTATAAACTATCTGAATTACTTGATTGGTTCCATCGAATACGGATACGCGATCCAGTCGAAGATGGCTACAGACGAATAAACTTGAAATACGCTCCACTTTTCCAGCTTAAAGTTATTTTGAACGAATACATATCTCCTGCGTATCCACTCGGACATTTGCAGTGGGAATATTTGGAAAGGGTACGTTTTAATTTTCCTATAAGAGAACGCGCAAACTTTAATAAAGTGAGAGTTACATAATAAATTGAATAGTAATATTATTAAACTTGACATTTTGCGTTTTGCAGGAAGCTATATCTGATGCAGTATCAAATAAATTGCCAACTCTAGAAGATCTTGGCGTTACGCTAACGACAATGGAATCACGAGTACACTGGGAGTTGAAACCGCATTGTAAGGATGTACAATATATGGAGAGTGTTGGCGAGTTCGATCCTGTTCCGGATCCACCAACAGTTCCAATTCATTAATTCTTTCTAATAATATGCTAGATTATTATAATATATATAGAAAATGAAATATGTACTCTTACTGTTAATACTTGCTGTAAGGAGTATGTTGTAAATTAAATATCGCGGTCTCACAAATATACCTATTGAATTGTTTAAACATTTATATTCCACGAGTTCTGTAAGTTTTAAGTGAATATGAATTAATTTATTGAATCTTTTATCATATAACAGTAATGGTAAAGAAATTGTTTCCCATGGAGTCTTCAAAGACATTTGAAAATTGTGTAATACTTGTGGGAAAATTATATAAGACTATATTAATGTTTTATTCCATTTATTACATGACGGGGCAGTCTAACTACAATGAAAGATTACAGTTTTTAATAATCGTGTCTATTTTAAACGCTATTTCAAACATTGGTAAAAAATATAAGCTAGGTTGGTCCTCGGTTATTATGCTGACCGAAGGCCAAGCAAATCTTCCATTACGAATGGCAGCGAAACACGCTTTATATTGTGTTTTTATTTTTTTTTTTTCAATTGTAAGCATAATATAGCATTATCTTGTAACTCTGATTCAGTTCATATATAGCCTCTGGCCGCCAATGTATTTTATCTATGAAGCAATATTTTTTTTCACAAACTTGATTATGCTAAACAACAAAATGTTCTGTTGTATATATTGTTTAAATTTCCTACTTCATACTTTCTTTTTTCGTTCTTCGTACTCTCAGGTGTTTACCTGACTTAGTAATATCAAGTGAATAGAAAACGTTGGCACAATAAATATTTGTTTTATACAAACACTGTATATGCACGACTTCGCAGTACCAAATGTAACTCAGAAGCATTTCATATATCGTGGCTTTTTAGGTAGTCAGTACCTTGTCTAATTAATGCGTCAGTTTTACCGGTCTCGATAAAAATAAACTTTTGCATACGGTTTCTAATGTGTAGAACGACAAGCAGTTTCTAAGATAACGCTCACGAGATCGACATCGCAATGTCACGAAAGAACTCCACAGTAATGGAAATCCTTGTCTCGTTGATATTACGATTGACTTTTATACGCGTACAAGCGTAAAAAAAACATTTTCATATAGTAATTATTCGTCTAAAATGTGTTGAGCATGTGATACACTGTTATCCACTTTCGTCTCGAAATACGTTGCGTTCTTATAAACGGATTAAAAGGTCTTGGCAAAAAGTACCTAAAGAGCACAATCTAGTGTCATTGCAGTTATATAGAAAACGTTTACATAACTTTGTGTTCCTTAAGTTTATATTGAACTAATTTGGAACAATAAAAGATTTTGTTTCATCTCTTTTTTTTTTTTTTTAAATATGTCATTATTTTGTTTTTATAAAATCTATTTTCATCTACGGATCACTTCAAAATTATTTTGAAATTGATATTAGTTTTTCAATGAAACTAAAGATAGATTTCTACGACAAATCTCTTGCCAATTCCTTTTAAATCGCGTGATATTCCAAACAGGAGGAATTTTGGTATATCAATTCCTCTCCGATGATCTTGCGCATCAACGCAATTAATATGTGATTACTTAACCGCTAGATACTTTCATCTCATTTCCGAATTATTTAAATGATCCCTCGGTCTACACTAATGGGATCGTAAAGCAGGTGTGAACGTACAGAGGCGCATAGCTCGGATTCCTGGACCCGGAAGTAAAATTTGTAGTGGACCTATTTAATTAGAGATAAGACTCTCGCTCTCCAAAATTATATATTCATATATCCCTAGCTTCTTCAATATTATTATATCTTTGTGTCAAGATATATCATAATGCGAAATTTCGTTAGTAACTAATATTTAAATAACGATGTATATATAGATATGTGTGTAAAAAAAGATCAGAGGCCCTCTTCTTATTTATCTTGGCAGATAAATTCCGTAAATTCAATAAATTTATATTTTTGCTTTTCCTATTCAATGTCTCTAAAAAACGTACGGCGTATTCACAGAAAATTCGAAGTGAATGCGACAGCGCTGGTCCAGTATGCCAGCCATAGTTAAAGCTTGTATAATGTTTTATTTCTCACGACGCTACGCACGATCATGAATTCGCAGAATTCATTGTCTCGATTGATTGCGAAAGAAAGTACGAAAGGAATGCATATATATAGGCCTGCTATTTGTTACGCAGAGCTAAACGCGCATTTCTGGATTTTAATTTAAAAAGAAGCATGCATTTGTGCCACTGTAGGATGAAACTGCATTTAGCATCAAATGCATAAAAAACACAGATGATAATAAAGAAGAAAGCTCGAACTAACAATAAGTCGCATGCGCGACAATAACGGTATAAACAACAGTATAAAATTCTCTTGTACAATAACGAATAAATAATAACTTACATGTCAATATTTCAAATACAATAGATGAATGTACATAATAGAACTGTATAATATATATGTATATATATATATACTCGGCTTAAATTACTACCAAAAGATCAAAGAACAAAGAAATCTTTTCAACGCTAGATAAATCGATCTTCTCGATATGTGAGGATCACGTTTGTTCACTTTCATATGTGCGAGAGGATATGTATTCATTTGGCATTAATGACTAGCCGCGCTTTTTTCCCCGCTCTCGTGCAGCCGTAACGGTGGCTTTTCGCGTGAATAAATCTCTCGTTACGTCCGCGAATGTCCATACATCTCGATTCAATATTATCGAGAATAATAATTACGGGTACAAATGTTACGGTGACAGAAGCTGCTCCTTTATTGCTATCTTTTTTTTGGTTATCTGTATTCACATCCTTTCAATGGTATTTTTCTCGATTAACGATGGGAAATATCACATCGTACAACAACCTATACAAAGAGCTCTTATTCTCTCTGGATGGGACTTTTTTTGCAATGGAATATTGATGTATCACTTATTGAAACACTGAATTAAAGGTAAAAACTAATAAATCTTTCTGTCCTTTACAGTTTCGAGACCAATTTGTACTCGAGCTGTAGTTAATTCGGAAAAAAAATAGAATTTTCTTTTAAAAAATTCAAAAGAACATCTTTTAATAAGCCAGAAAACCAGCCAAACAATTCTTTAGGATTGGATTTATACTTTTTAAATGTTAAAGCAATTAATCGACAATGTTGAAAGTCTAAAATTAGATTTTTATATATTTAATCTGAAGGTTTTTTACACATCTCGGTATAATGAAAATTTCATTTATTAATTACAACTTTATAAAGATCTAGTTAAAGTTTGCGGCTTGTCAATTATTTCGAATCACGAGACTCCTCTTTCCTTTTTTTTTTTTAATGCGAATTTCTTTTATATCAGATCGTAGAAGATCAATACGATGATACTCTACAACAATAATATACCCAGGGGAAGATCGAGTAGCATTGAACAAGGATTTTTTAAGTTGTAGACGTGTGTGGCAGCATTTGTCAAGTCATTGCCAAGTGCATGCGAGAGTCAGAAGAGTTCTCTCCATACTGGAGAATAGAGGTAACGTTTATGAACTATCGTGCAATTTGTTGAGTAGCTGTCACGGAGTTACTTTACCAACCAGTCACGTTGCATTAAATGTAAGTCGAATTTCGTTTTTGGTTCACCAATATATATATATATAAACAGCACCTGTTATTCTTTAAACTGTTGGTTTTAAATCTTTCTTGTTTTAAAGCTTTCTTCGTTGCGCATTATTCGGGTGATATCGAACAATGAGATGGCGGGCGGTATCAGACAGCCATTGGCTTTTGACGGCTGATCTGCTCTATAGGGAAGATATCAGAAAAACAGGAAGAAGAAAACATGACATTAGCCGTTCAGTAAATAGGAACTAAGAAAGTGAACAATAAGAGAAACGTTTAAACAACATTCTGTTCCAAAAGTGGGAAATAGATGAATAGATGTTGAAGCGCGAGGCAGGAGATAGTCATGCACAAATAATAGGTGGCCACTTATCGAACATGTTTTTTTTTTTAAACATTTCTGTAAAATATTTCCGACACCACTCACTAATTTACAAAAACAAGAAAATATATTAGGTGTACAAATTCAGGGTTGCCACCAATTTTTAATCGTAATTTCCAGACATTTCCCTGATTTACTGATAAAATTTTGAGATTTTTCCTGACTTTGAATAATACACATTTTGCAATGTCTCTTGTATTTTTTATCGTAATACGGAAAATGTTAAATATCCTGTTGATCCAGCAATGTAACATAGATGTAACATAGACATTTTCTTCAGGAAACAAATTTCAAAAAAAAAAAGGTAGTTCAAATCAATCATAGAAGCACAAAGTAATATAAATTTATTTACAGCTATTTTATTTTCCCTGACAAGTGTGCTAAATCCCTGACTTTTCCTGGACTTCCCTGATTTCCCTGACTTGTGGCAACCCTGAAATTAGTTTGGTCCGTTTTTTGTATTCAAAAATGCATTTATTTCGAAGCAAAATGAACGAACGGATTAATTAAAGCATTGTCCATCGCTGGCTACTACTTTTTCCCAATGACTCGTCTTCGGAGGCGATCATCTTTTGGAAAACGGACCGAACTAATTTGTACTCCCAATAATAACGTTTAAGAAGACTTCCCTGATTTCCCTGACTTGTGGCAACTCTGAAATTAGTTTGGCCCGTTTATTGTATTCAAAAATGCATTTATTTCGAAGCAAAATGAATGAACGGATTAATTAAAGCGTTGCCCATCGCTGGCTACTACTTTTTCCCAATAACTCGTCTTTGGAGGCGATCATCTTTTGGAAAACGGACCGAACTAATTTGTACTCCCAATAATAACGTTTAAGAATGTACAAAATTCAACTGCTTTCACTTTTAAAAAAAAGTACGATAAGAAGAGTGTGATAATATATATTACAATTGATTTTTGCCCGAAATCTCGAAAAAAACCTAAAACATCCCCGATACCACCCGGCCTTCCCCTAATGTAATTATTCGCACGAAACGCCTTCTCGCCTCGTCAACTTTACCGAACTATGAAGACTCCGCTGCAGAAGGAAGACCTCTCTCTCTCTCTCTCGACCGATAAGCCGTAGGTGCGTATAAATGATCGTCGCTTTGAGTATGAAAATTGCGGAATGATAATTAATAGAAAAAGGAAAACGGAAGAGGAGTTGCAAGTA